GACATCATATTTCTAAGAAAAATAGCACACTAACCTAATGGATTTTTTAACAATTATCCATTAGAAGCTAACTTAGGGTATAGACTAACTTAAACAATTGGGCTTATAAGCAAGGCCCAATTCAACATGCTAACAACCCTAGCAATATTGACTAATGCATGTTAGAACAAATTTCGACTACAACACACATTACTCTGACAGCAGCATGTGAACAAACTTCGACTTCATGCTTAATTCCTGTCGAACCAGAAACTATCATTTGACCATACTAGAGTTTGATCCAATATCTCACAAATCTCCACCTTGGATCTAAATCTATAATATCAAGAAACTATCTTTCTTCATGCAACTTTATCAACTGCATACAGTGGAAAAAGTTACAACTGGGCAACGTCTTGGTGATCATATCAGCAGCATGTGAACAGACTTCGATTGCTGCTTTGATATCTTCACCTAAGGCTACACTATAAATTAAGACTCTATTCAGAGACACATTTATGTACCTTAGAATCCACTTCAATGCTTTCCATTCAGACTTTCTAGGATTCACCATGTATCTGCTTATAAGACTTATTGCATATGCTATGTCGGGTCTAGTACAGACCATAGCATGCATCAAAGAACCTGCTATGTTAGCATATGGAATGCTATTCATATAATTTCTTTCAACATCAGTGATGAGACACTGATCTATACTCAGCTTAAATTGAGGGTTTGTCGGAGTCACAACAGGCTTTGAATTCGACATACCAAACTTTTCGAGAACCTTTCGTAGGTATGCCTCTTGAGATAAGCATAACTACGACTACTTTCTATCTCTTCGGATGTCAATCCCAAGAATCCTGGATGCAGCTCCCAGATCCTTCGTGTTGAACTCCTTATTAAGTTCAACCTTCACCCTCATTACCTCTTCAACAATGTTGCTTGCTATTAGAATATCATCCACATAGAGCAACAAAATAACAAATGAATTACCCGGTCGAAATTTGAAGTAAACACAGTGGTCGAACTGACTTCTAATGAAACTTATGCGTGCCATGAACTTGTCGAATCTCCTATTCCATTGTCGAGGAGGTTGTTTCAGACTATATAAGGATCTATTCATCTTTCACACGTAATCTTTCTTCGCTTTTTTGACATACCCTTCAGGTTGCCTCATCAGTATTGTTTCATCTAAATCACCATACAAGAATGCAGTCTTCACATCCATCTGTTCCAGTTCAAGGTCGAATTATGCCACTGTGGCAAGCAACATTCGAATGGATATGTGCTTCACAATAGGAGAGAACACATCATTGATGCCGGCATCTTCTTTCTGAGTGAACCCCCTAGCAACCAATCTTGCCTTGTATCTCTTCAACACCACTCCTTCGATTCCTTCCTTAACTTTGAAAATCTATTTACAGCTGACTAACCTGGCTCCAGCAGACTTCTTGATCAGCTTCCAGGTGTTGTTATCATGAAGAGATTTCATCTCATCATCCATGGCCTTCATCCATTCAGTCTTCTTTCGACTACTCATAACTTCCTTATAGTCTCTAGGTTCTTCATCTAGAACCTTACTTGCAGAGATTAAGGCATAAGCTATAAGATCTGCATACCCAAGTCTTTGAGGTGGCTTGATGACTCTCCTCGACCTATCTCTTGCTAGCAGGTAGTCATTATTAGTCTCCTCATCTTCAAAAACATATTTTGCGTCTTCTTCGACTTCATCTGGGGTACACAATTTAGCATCAACATGCTCCACCTCAACAGGAATTTCTCCCTGTTCCAGCTCTTCGCCAGCATTATCAGTTTTCTTAAAAGTCATCTCTACTTCATTGAAAACTACATCTCGACTGGTGATACACCTCCTTTGACATGGCTCTAGGAACCATAGTCTATAAGCTTTGACTCCTTCAGGGTATCCCATGAACATGCATTTCAGAGCTCTAGGTTCGACCTTGTCTTGCCTAATGTAAGCATAGGCCACACAGGCAAATACTCTCAGTCTGTCGAGACTAGGTGAATGTCTCGACCAAACTTCTTTAGGTGTCTTCATTCCCAAGGAAGCCGAGGGACATCTATTTATCAGGAATGCTGTTGTCGAAACAGCTTCCGCCCAAAACACCTTCTTCAATCCAGCACTAACCAACATGCATCTAACCCTTTCAAAGATTGTTTGATTGAATCTCTCATCTAAGCTATTTTGTTGAGGAGTACCTACTACAGTCTTATGCCTTGAAATCCCAGACCTAACACAGTAATTGTCAAACGCTTCATTGTAGAATTTAAGGCCATTGTCGGTTCTTAACCTCTTAACCTTTCTGCCAGTTTGAGTTTCGACTAGAATCTTCCAACTTTTGAAATTCTAAAAAGTTCAACCTTCGTCTTCTGAATGAATACCCATAGCTTTCTGGAATACTCATCAATGATGGACAGAAAATACCTTGTACCTGAGTGTGAAGGATTCCTTACAGGCCCCCAAAGATCAGCATGAATGTAATCTAGGGATCCATGTGTTCTTTGCTTGCCTTTGTTAAACTTCTCCCTACAGGATTTACCAAATACACATAATTTACAAAACTACAACTTTTCGACTTTGTCACCTCCTAGCAGGTTCTGGTTCCCCAATTCGACCAGACCTTTTTTGATGACATGGCCCAATCTCATGTGCCATAACTTTGTCTTTGACACAAGTTTCGTGGATGCAACATTTGTCGAACCACTTACAACCTCAGCCTCAAGGGTATACAAACCTTGTTTCTTCACGCCTCTCAAGACTTCCTTCGACCCCTTCATGAATCTTAGGATACTTTTCTCTCCTTGAAAAACGTATCCCTTTCTGTTGAATTCACAAAGAGAAATCAAATTTCTCTTCAAGTCAGGTACATACCTGACTTCAGTCAATAACCTTATTGACTCATCATAGAGTTTAAATTTTACAAATGCAATACCTGTAATTTTACAAGATTTGTTGTTTCTCAGCAGCACAGATCCACCATCTTGATCACATAGCTCCTCGAACAATTCTCTGTTTGGAGTCATGTGCCAAGTGCAAACTGAATCCATAATCCGCTCTTTTCTTGAGTCGCCACTTGAAATCACAAGAACATCAGATGAGTCAAATTCATCTTGAACAATGGCTGCGTTGCCATTACCTCCATGATGTTTCAAGCGTTCAGGGCACACCTTTCTCGTGTAACCTCCTTCTTACAGTGATAACATCGAATACCAGATGTTTTGCCACTATAAGACTTTTGTTGACTTTTACCTTTCTTCTTGTCGAACTTACCATCCTTTCGCAAGAATTTTCCCTTAACGACCAAACCTCCGTCCACCATCGAAGGTTTATGCTCCTTTCGTTTGTTCAAGTCCTTAGAATACAAGGTTGATTGAACTTCTTCAAATGTTAGGGACTCCCTTCCATACAAGAGAGTTTCTTTGAAGTGACCATGTATTCTAGGCAAAGCACACAGCAGCAATAGTGCTTGATCTTCATCATCAATCTTCACATCAATATTTTCAAGATCAAGAATCAGCTTGTTGAACATATTTAACTGCTCAGCCAACACTTTATCTTCACTCATCTTGAATGAATACAAAGCTTGCTTTAGGTAGAGTTGATTCACTAGAGATTTGGTCATGTATAAACTTTCAAGTTTCATCCATAATCCCGATGTTGTAGTCTTCTTTGATACCTGTCGAAGAACCTTATCACCAAGGCTCAACAATATTGTGTTGTGGGCTTTCTCAATCATGCCCGTCTTTTCTTTTGTCGTTAACTCAACATCCACTGCTGCCTCTCCCTTCAACGCTTCTAAATAACCCTACTGAACCAGTAGGGCTTTCATCTTCAAGGGCCACAGACCAAAGTCGTTCACTCCGGTGAACTTCTCAATCTCATACTTTGTTGAAGGCATCTTCTCCATGCTCACCACACCAATTTGTTGTGAATCGGATACCTTGAAACAAAGTATAAACAGTTTCTTTATGATCAAGAAACACACAAGGGTTAGGGTTAACAAATAAACCAAGGTAAAACAACAAGGAACAACAAAGATTGGTTATAAATTACTATTCTTTCCTTACTCTTAGAACAGGATTACAAGAATAACAATATAACCTCTCTCTCTTGAAATTAGGATTTTATCTTCCTATTTTTCCTTATACCAAGATTGAGAAACTAGCATCCTATTTATAAGAAAAATAGCAGACTAACCTAATGGATTTTTTTAACAATTATCCATTACAAGCTAACTTAGGGTACATGCTAACTTAAACAATTGGAATTACAAGAAAGGCGCAATTCAACATGCTAACAACCCTATAAATATTGAGTAATGCATGTTAGAACAAACTTCAGCTACAACACGCATTACTCCGACAGCAGCATGCGAATAGACTTCGACCTCATGCTTAATTCTTGTCGAACCAGAAACTATCCTTCGATCATACTAGAGTTCGATCCAATATCTCACAATAATAATAATAATAATAATAATAATAATAATAATAATAATAATAATAATAATAATAATAATAATAATAATAATAATAATAATAATAATAATAATAATAATAATAATAATAATAATAAAGTATCACATGTTATTCGTGGGCTCGTTATATTTGTCTATTACTTTATGACATAAAATACAAAGCTTTGTAACAATCTCGTCATTTTCTTTTATTCATAAAAAAAATACCAAAAACAAAGATAATACCAAAAAAAAATTTTGTAAAATGTATTTTCTCATTTGAGTTATTTACTTTGAAGTTGAAGAGTCATAGAAACAATGAATCTCAGTCGTTGGATCTTATCACATCAATTGTAAGATGTCTTGTAAACTCTATTCTTTTATAAGAACTAAGAGTATAGCTCATAAGAAATCTTAGACCCCGACTCTCTTCTCCACATTCTCATTTTAAATCATCTTCATACAACCATACACAGTCGCTCTCATATAAGAAAAATAATCCATTTCCATCTCTCTTTCATTTCTCTTTCCGTTTAAGGAATGGAATCGGATCCTAGATTTGCAGGAAAATTTCCTTATCTTTATAGGGATTTTCCTAAAAATCCTTGGGTGAAATCGGAGATCTCCACAATGGTTCCATTGCAACCACGTTCAACTCTTTCACCTCCACCATCATATTACAACACTTTTTTGGATCCAAATCGCTGCACTCAATTTAAGGAACATGCTCATGAAGAAGCTAGTCATCACTCTAGTTTTGCTAGTATGGTTCCTTCCTCTATGAACCCAACTCTTTCATACAAGAGTGCACCAACCAATGGATCCAAGGAAAAAAAATTTGATGGTCAAAATCTAATGACCTTCACACCAAATAACAACAGAAGGGAAGTTATGCATGGTCACCTTAACACTAGCAATGGAATATGGGATTCATTCACAAAAAATATCTTTCATCATGGTGAAACTTCTCAATCTCGTGTGAGTCTATATCCTTCACTATCACTAGTTTATGATGCAAATCCATCTTTTACAGTTAATCCAAATCTTCAAGGAGATCTTTCTCTGATTGGTCGAAATGGAAACAAACCTCTCTACAATGACCAAGAACTCGCCCTCAGTGACCATAAGCAACATAAGAGAACTCAAAATAATGTTGAAACTCAACATATGGATCCAAATTTAATCAAACGAAAATGGACTGCAAACGAGGACAGGTTATCAAATCGTTTAAATTTCATATTGTCTCTCCTGCACATTTTTTCATAGTCGTAGCATGGATTTAATATATACTTTATTGGTTCATGATATATTTATTGGTTTTAGTTTTATGTTTGATTCATCTTATCTTGATTATGTATCTTTTATTCCTCATTTTCCTTTGACATATGATGAACACCTAACATTGTTATTATATTTTTGTAGGATTCTTATTCAATTGGTGGATCACTTTGGACTAAGAAAATGGTCTCAGATTGCTAAGTTTATAAATGGCAGGATCGGGAAACAATGCAGGGAAAGATGGAATAATCACCTTCGACCCGGAATTAAGGTGTCTTTCTTTTCAATTTTTTATATATATCATCTCTTACACAGACACATATAAATAAGATAATATAATTTTCGAGCAATATTGATTAATGACTAGTTTTCCCTCATCATGTTACACTTTTACATGTTCATATAGCTGCATCAAATTAATCAAAAAAATTAGGAATTCATGTCAAGTAAATTCATAAATGCAATTAAATAATTATGTTTATACGATTTTAGGAGGGTACGAAGAATTTTTAACTAGCACTTATTTCTCTTCTTACACACATTTTAAAAGTTCGTACAATATGGCATTATAGTCTCGTTAACATCTCATTTTATTTTTAATGAACCTTTTATGGTCCATTGTCATTGGTTTAGTTTTATACTTTTCTAAATATGTAATATCATTTTACCTAAATTTTATCTAAATGTTTTTATATGTATGGAAAAAACAAAAAGGGAAAGCATAAGGAACCATAGGTGTTCTAAAACCCAGGAAACGAGTGAAAAAGAAAAAGCAGAGATACAATAAATCCAAGTAAACAAACCTGAGAAACAAATAAAAAGTACCTAGACTCCATAAACATGGTATGGAGATCGGAAGCGTACAACACCTAAAAAATAATTGAAGTACTGATTCACCATTCTATCAAACAACTCCATAAATCTGGTAAGATAAACCCTTAAGTCTATATTGGTTCAGGCACAAAAAACGTTAATCAACTACATAAAGAAACTACAAAAGTAAAAATAAGTCTTACTAATATACCATTTTCATGAAGAGAAGACAATATTATCTACCAGTTTCTCCATTGTTGTTATTGTACTCGAGAAAATAAAATAGTTTTGGGATTTCTAAACATTCAAAACCACAAAGTGACAAAACCAAGGTCAAACCAACTTTAACCATGGAACTATAGACCCAAGGGTCATAAAACTCTCAAATTAAGAACCTAACTTTGTGGATAACACTAGTTCTCACCATAACTACCTAAAACATTTATACCACGAACTAGCTTCCATCACATAAGTAAAAAAAACTACTATTAGACTTCGTGGAAACTTTGACGAAAAATACAAAAGACCCTACCTAAGTCCATAATCATTTGACGTCTAAAAAGGATCTCCCTCGCTATGACCTTAACTCAATGTAATTGCTCTGGACTATAACCTTAAAAGGGTCTCAATAATAGAATTATATGATTTTTCAAATTCAACTTTAAAAATAAGGAAGACCTAAATAGACTTATTAGAAATATCTACTAGCCCACTCACCCACACTACTCTGTCAACCAGATGCATAGTTTTGATGAAAACATACTAGTTAGAGAGAGATAAGTTTATCAATGACCAAAGTCAGACTGTTAAAACTTTTGCACCAACAATTTATATAGGGATCTTACTAGAGAGTTTGTGCAAAAATTCCTCAGTTCAGTAGGGGTTAACCTTCGGGATCTGGCAAAATTAATATGAGATACTATGCGGAAAGGATGCCAAACAGAAGATGAAGTTAAATATGATTCTCACATCGATCTTGAAAATATTCCGTATCCTTTTTAATAAGGATAATTTGAAATCATTCAACCACGAGCTCATATTACCATTAACTTGGAAACCCCAAATTCGATCTAAGTGAGGAGGAAAAGAGATGAAAAAACTAAGTTATCATTAATAGTGATAGTTTGAAACTCCATAAATCCCATCAACCTTATGTCATAAAGATCCTATCAAGGTAGATCATTATCCCATCTATTTAGTTGGAACCACGTAAATACTTATTCAATAAAGGGAGATCAATAAGCTCCATTTGGGTAAAAAAAAAAGTGAAAGCAATGCAATTTTCTAATCCATTGATCATATTAACCCTTTGTGCGTATATCACTTCACTCGTCGAAAAAAGAAAAGCTTAAATCCCTCATAACACACTGTACATTTCCTTTAATTAATCATGTGCACCTCACAATATCACCCTAACAAAGTATTCTTATCTACCATAGCACATTTAGAGTAAAAATTAACCATAAAAAGATTGATTTAAGCCCTCCGCTCAAGGTTGACCCCAAGGAATTTTGGCCTAGCAAGGAATCCTATTTCCAGAGTTGGGCAATGTAACCTTTTTTTACAAACAACCGAAAATAAATGAGTCCCATAAAATCTTTTAGATTTTTACAAAACAAAATAAGGAAAGAGAAATCCTAAGTTAATGTATCAAATGAAGTGATAAAGACTTCTCTCATTGACCTTCCCCAATAGAAACCTTTCTTCTTTTTTATTGATCAAATCATGTGTTAACTAAACAAACTTCTACTTTTGTAAAATACGAAAAAAATATTTCTAATCCCATCAATAATAGGTTAATGTAATAAAAACTTTTGAAACATGCTAGGGGAAGCTCGTCTTTCCCGCAAAGTCCATTCAACAAACTCCAGGTCACCCAGGGATTTAAAATTTTCCTCCAATAATAGATCTAAAATCAGATTGCCAACCTTTCAACCACCAAAACACCATCGCCTCACTCGAACCAAATGAGGAAGAAAATAATTTATCTTTTAACTTTTGCAATACCTCAACAACCTAACACAATCCACCATAACAATGATGAGTTTCTCAAATACAAAAAATAGTAAACATTTATCCATTTGTCAAGAAAGCCAATTTAATTTAGACAAGATCCATTCAACCTAGATAAAGTACAAGGGGAAGGTAGATGGGATCGCTCCAAACCCACAAGAGATGACCAATTTGGTAGCATGAACACATATGCTAATGAAAACCCCTTCACGTCCAAGATACGACACAACATTCCTCGGGACACCGCCTCTTTGGGGCCCCTTGAGGAAACCTATTAATTCTTAGTAAGATAACTCTGAGTTTTAAGTCTCCCGACCAGACATTGAATAGTGTTGAGTGTAACCCTTTAACATCTTTCATCCATTCCAACCTCATAAAATATAAGTAGGTAGGAGGAGGAAAGATGAACTGGGTACGACAACGAAACGGGGGCGGTTTTTAGTATTACCATACTCGTCCCCATGTTCATGTGTTGCCTCTACCTCTACCTTAAACCCTATAAAAATGATTATTGAACACCTAGAAACTGTGGCTTTTTCATCAAAACAAAACATATTTCTGTTTTGGAATCTTAACATTTCATTTCTTCTTAACATTAAAAAAAATTAATTAAATGGCATATTTCAACATAAATCAATCATACAACTTAAAATTTTAAAAATTAAAATCTTAAATATTAAATCATCAAAATAACATACAACTAAATAAGGATAAATTTGTAATGAGAATAAAATATATAAGGGTAACTTAGTCATTTTGAGTAATTTGGATGGGGTGGGGTGGGTATTGCTCTCGCCCCCACCCCTATTTTTAAATTTTGAGTTTTCCCAATACCCTTCCCCGTTCCTAGTTAAATCGATTTTTTCTCATAAAATTTAGGGAGGAGTTTAATAAATTCAACCAGGTTTAAATTTTATTGTCATGCTCAGTAAGAATATTTACATGTTTATCCTCACCAACCTATCTTCATTTTTTGTTCTTCAAATGAATAATTTTTTGCTTTAAAATATTATATTAAGATAAGTTTTATTTATAAAAATGCATCTTTTCCTCTAAAAAAGAGCATCGTTGGTGAATTGAAATAATTGGATGAAAATTTACTAAATTTTGCAGATGTGATAGTCAATATATAATATTAGTTTAACATTTTGATTAGTAAAACATAGATATAGAAAAGACATATCTTGTTCGATAGTTTATTAAAATCAGCTATTACCAAATTGGTGAAATGAGAGTCTTTCTCCATCAAGTTATAAATTGTTAGTTAATGATTTTTCTAATTAACATAGTAATTGTTTTATATGATTGTAGAAGGAGTTATGGAGCCAAGAGGATTACAAAAAACTCATTGAAGCTCACAAGAAAGTTGGGAACAAATGGGCTGAAATTGCAAAGAGTTTGCCCGGGCTCACCGAGAACTCCATCAAGAACCGCTGGAACTCCATCAAGCGTAGCCAGAAGGCCAAGAAGAGGCTGGACTATGGCAACAATTTGAAGGGAACTCTACTTCATAAATACATCATTGAAGTCAATGCTGCAAAGGAAGCTGAAAAGGAGCAGTTGGATAATGAAAGTTTTGAAAGTGGTTTCAGTTCTAATGGTTTGGCTACTTCTGAAGATGAAATTGACTATGTTCCAATGATGCAAAATGGCGGTGATGATGGAGTAATGGATTATGGTTATGGGTCGTATACATTGGAGCTTTTTCCTAATGTTCCTATGAAGTAGGAAATCGATCTCGTGAGATGATCTATGAAAACCCTTGTGGTTCTGTCTCTTTTCAGTAATAGTAATGTTGTCATTGATCTTTTATTTGGTGTCTGTTATTGTTTATCTTAGGTTGTGGTGTTCTATCACATACTTTGTTTAGACTTGGTTTGTTTTTTTGATCTTCTTGTTTGTATGAGTTGAGATTTTAGACAAGTTAAATCAAAATATGTTTTTCATAAGATGTGTCAGAGAATGTTCTCATAGATGGAGTGGGACAACAGTTCCCTAAGGTAAAAAATTTACTTTATTTGTGTGTAATGCACATGTTAATAATGGATTCGAATTTCACATTATTACAACATGACTCTAAAACATATTAGGGTCGTTGGATCTCAAATGCATGGTTATGATCATTTGTAAGAATTTTGTTACATTATTAAGAATAAATCAATTTATAATTAATGGATGATATGTGTAAAACAATGTAAAATTGTGTGCTTTATATACAAAATGCCTATTCTTATTAAGGAGTGGAACAAAATATTTTTTGTAATATATTCAAGCATATGAAAGAGATCATAGTAAGCTGGTTGAATGACATTCAAAATAGTTATCATTTTGGTCATAGTTGATACCTTGATACGCTTGAGAATGATCTTTAGGACCAATTGGCTTACACCCTTTACTAGGAAGAATGTCTTTGGTTTTAGAAGTCCAGATGTAAGTTGATTATTGATGGGGATAGGAACACCAAATATTACCATTCTAAAACTATTATGCATAGAAGAAAGAATAAAATCACGGCTCTTAGATATGAAAACAAAGAGTGGGAGGTTGACTATGATAAGCTTAAAGAAATAGTTATGCGTCCTTTTTTGATTAGAGAGTCGGACTTTAGCCAGAGCCCTACATACTTCAAATCAAAGGCCCTTGCGAGGGAAGAGACGCGGTATAAAAAGATTGAAAAAAAGTCCTTGGTGTTAGTGACAACATCATGTAAGTTCAGAAGGTACCTCCTCACACATTCCATAATCGCCGAGACAGTTTTACCCTTGAAGCAGGTGTTTTACCGTTCAGACTTGGCTAGGCATTTGACAAAAGACCTGATGGAGTTCGAAGTATCTTTCGAAGTAAGAAAAGCATTGAAGGCTCATTTTACCATAGACTTCTTGGCTAAAATGACCCATATACCTCCAGAACTAGATCTCACTTGGGTGATATTCACGAACAGATTACATAATAGCCGAGGAAGTGGTGAAGGTGTAATTTTGGAAAACAATTACGAGCTTGTGGTGAATTTTTCCTTGAGGTTCAAGTTCTCGACCACCAACAATCAAGCTAAGTATGAAGTAATAATTAAAGGGATAACACTAGTCAAACAAATGTGGGTTGAATATATTAAGTTGTGAATAGACTCCTAGTTGGTCGTCTCTCAAATTAGGGGGGAAGCATAGGCTAAGGACCTGATATTGCAATGACACTTCAAACTAGATACTAAAAAGCTCGCGAGATTCAAGTTGTTCAAAATTTCTCATGTGTCACAAAAAGAAAATACCCGCACTAACATATTATCTTGGTTAGCCGGTACAAGGATCCCAAGGATTAATCACTCTTTCTTTCAAGAAACTAGAAAAGCACCAAGCATTGAATCCCCGGGGAAGATATTATCAGTCGTAGATATCATTGCCCTACCTTCATGGATTACCCCGATTCTAAAGTATATTGAGCTAAGAGTCTTGTGTCGTATCAATCCAAAGTAACCTTGGTAAAGAGAAGGGCATGTGAATACATGGTGGTTGGAGAGACCTGTATAAAAGAGGTCTATATACACCCTTGGTAAAGTGCATAGTGAAGGAGGAAGTTGAATACGCTCTTCAAGAAGTACACAACAGGATAGCCGAGAAACATCTAGGGGTTAAGGAATTGTCCAAGAAGTTTATGAGAGCGGGGTATTTTTGGCCGACCATGGTCCGATACACTCAAGAATACGTGAAAAAGTGAGACCAATGCCAACAACATGGAGATGTTTTCTATGCTCCACCTACAGAGTTCCATGTCCTGACATCACCATGGTCGACCCTACAATGGGGATTGAATATCCTAGGATCATTCAACCCTAGTTCCAGGATAATTGTAGTATTTGATCATAGTTGTGGACTATTTTACCAAGTGGATTGAGGCGGAGGCACTAGAAAACATCACAACAACGAATGTCTTATAATTCTTCAAAAGGAACATACTAGCTTAGTTCAGGGTTCATCAAGCCTCTTAGAGGAGTTGAGGATCAAGCAACACTTTGTGTTTGTAGAACATTAGTAGGCGAACAGCCGGGCCAAGGCGGCAAATTTAGTGCTAGTGAGATGCCTAAAATGAAGACTAAGGAGGCTAAATGTAATAGGACCTATGAACTGCCGCATGTCCCGTGGGAGTATCGCACCAGTATCCAATCGATTATAAGAGAAACTTCTTCCTGGCTCACGTATATCGTAGAAGTGATCATTCAATGGAAATTAAAGAGCTGAGTTAGAGGATAATTAATCCTTTACCAATAGAAGGTAATGGTAGAGCTATAAGAGAAGAGATCAACCTTTTCTAAGAAAAAAGGATACAAGTCGCCTTTACTAGTGTCGTCGTCAAGAAAACCATGACCTCCAGGTACAATCGGCGTGTCTAACTAAGATAGTTCTAGATTGGGGACTTGGTGTTGTAGAGAGTCAACATAAGAGGCAAAAATGCTCAAGATGGTAAGCTAGCAACAAATTGGGGAGGACCTTACGGGGTACGAGCCAGCACTAGAAAATGAGCGTACGTCTTAGAGTCCCTTGAAGGGGAGTAGGTACCAAAGACATGAAACATCACTAAACTAAAATGGTATTACAATTGAAAGGTATACTTATATGTTTGCTTCACTTTTTCAATGTAACACATGGGCATAACTATGAATGCAAATACTTTTCTGTCATTTTTTTCTACTACTCACTTTTATCTCTTTTAGGATAGCAAAGGCGAATAATATAAAGATTGCATGCATTTCTTCATAGTTGGCGCACCCCTTCCCCTTCCCCCCCCCCCCTCCTCTTCAGAACTAGCCACTCCAAAGGTGTAAGATGGTAAAGTCCAAAGACGTCCACCTTGATCTGAGTCATACCTCAGGGACATGGACGGGGATCCTACCCTTGGACAAGGACAATCCTCTATGACGCTGAAGCTAGCGGGATTATACCTGAGTGAATCGCAAACTCAAAGATACAACAGAGTTGCCACCGAACTTTATTTAGTCCCAAAGGACATGGAAAATATCGATAAAACCCAAGGGAAAGAGAAACGGGAAAGGGGGTCGGTTATGCGAAAGGAAGGTACTAGCACCTTAAGCATCCGTCGTACCCGACGGGAACCATTTTGCTTACTTCTAGGCTTGGATGGGTTATCTATCTAAAGGCTTTTAGCTAAAAAGGAATGAAAGAAAAGAAAGAAAGGAAAGTGAAAGAAAAGAAAGAAATAAAGAAAGGAGAGTGCTCGAGGAGGATTGGGGCCCTCGTGCCTACGTACCCTCATAGTACAATGAGGAAGTCAGAGATTCATAGTTCAAAGAACCAAGTAAAAGAAAGAAGAGGATCTGGATGGACCAGAGAGATGGAAGAATGGAAGAAGATGGAGGAAGGTGGCTCGCCAAGATTTCACAATCTTGTGCCTACTTACCCTCATAGTGCAATGAGGAAATTGGAGCCTACGTAGTTCGGGGAACTACTGCTAGGAAAGAAAAAGGAAAGAGACGGCATCAAAGCCAAAAACCCAAAAGAGAAAGCAAGACCCAACTGGGGAATGCAAAAGGAATGGTGTCAAAACCAAGACGACTCTGCTGAGGAACAGAAAGCGAAGAGAGAACTCTGCGGGGACATGTAGAAGAAAAGAGATGACTCTACAGGGGATAAAACAAGAGAATGGCAACGGAGTCAGGGAAGAAAGGAATAAAGAACAAGAATCAAAATAAAGGTAAGATCCACGGGGGACTCGGTGCATTAACTGCAAGTAGTGATTAACCGAAGAAAGATAAGAGTAAAACTTTATGGGGAGAGTAGAAGGTTAGGTGTTAATAGACGGACTACGACGAACCAAGAGAAAGAGAGTAATGAACCAAAGGGAGGTGTTTGACTCTGAAGGTAAATTGGTATATTAACTGATAAACAGTGGTTAACCGAAAGGATAAAGGAGCTGGTTTTAACTGATAAACGGTGATCAACCAAAGAACTGGTTTGGAACCAAGCAAAGGTTGTGACCCAAAGAACGGGTGTGGAACCAAGCGAAGGTTGTGACCCAAAGAAACGGCAGTTTGACTGAACAAACAGCACTTATCCAAAGGAATGGGTATTGGAACCAAACAAAGGTTACTAACCCAAAGCTGGCAGTGTTTGAACAAAAGAAAGGTTGCTAACTGCGGGGGGGGGGGGGGGGGGGGGGGGGGTTCGGGGCTTAACAAACGGACTATGATTAACCAAAAAGAATGAGTGATTAACCAAAAAAGGTGATTAACTCAAAAGAAACTCAGTATCTTAACAGGTGGGTTGTGGTTAACTGAGGAAAAAGGTTATTGGTTTAAACAGTCGGACTGTGATTGACCAATAGGCGGGTGATTAACCAAGAGAAGGTGACTATCCCAAAGAAAAATCTGGTTTTAACGGGAAGACCGTGATCAACCAAAGATCGGGTGATTAGCCGGAAGAAGGCGATTAACCCAAAGAAAAACTAGTTTTAACGGGCGGACCGTGATCAACCAAAGATAGGGTAATTAGTCGGAAGAAGGCGATTAACCCAAAGAAAAAGCTGGTTTTAACAGGCAGACCACGATCAACCAAAGATAGGGTGATTAGCCGAAAGAAGGCGATTAACCCAAAGAAAAACTCAGTATTAACAGACAGACTGTGATTAACTGGAGAAAAGAGGATTTAGTGCTTGAATGTTAAACATTGATGACCCAAACAAGAAGGAGAGAGAACCAAGAGAAGGTTGCAAACTCTGGT